TGAGTCTTGATGCATATTTCTACCATATGTCTCCGATGTTGGCTCTAGACAACACCATGAAATTTTAGCTGATCATCTTGAACTAAGTCCTTGTAAAACTATGAAAAGTCCTAATTTCCAAAAACTTCGAGGAATTCTAGATTTTATCCTTTAATTTCGATCTCTCTGTACCCAATAAGCCCTCCTTGTTTGTCTGCAACCACTTAAATTAAAACTCCCAAGAACTGTAATTCATGTAATATCATGCCTAACTATCCAGGAGGCTTATTCCTTCAGCTACACTCAGAAAGATCCGATTGGTAACCTTAGATGTTCCGCATGAGTGTCCGTGTCCGAAGATTAACTGTTAGATTGAGCAGCACATATCCTACTCCTATTACTGAAGAATGAACGAAGACCTTTCACGCAACTGTTTGGTCACATTTTACAGATTATTGTTTCCAAGTAAACCAAAGGTGGAAGTTGGGCAAATAAAAATACTCGCGAGGGCCGGTTGAGAAATTTAATGCTTATACAACATAGGACGAATGAAATGGTAGGGTCAAAAGGGGAGGGATGTAGTGCCAGCTGCATGGGCTGAGTTGGTTGGTTGCTGGATTGGTCCAACCTTGCAATCCGGACCCGATATGCCCAGCACCATGGTAATTTGTTACCACTCAACACGCACGACTACATCGAGTTCCATTGTAAGTGTTGCTGATTGATGTCTACAATGGCTGTCTGCTCTTGAAAAGTAAGTCTCGTGCAAAGTAAGATGGATTGAAGTTCGATGATTAGATGAGTCTTTCGCCTCGTTTCCTCGTAAGCAATGCAATTTCAAGGCTTTGGATCACCAAAATGACATACAAGTAGATTTACCTACAAGTTCCTCATAAGACTGTCGTTTCTGTCACTTTAAGGAATTTAGAAAATCTCCATCTATTATATTCTAACTTTTTTATATACTTATTAGGTAATCAGTTATCCTTGTTTTATATGGGAGTCTCTTTATCCCCAATAATCTCGTAGGCTCTTCTTAAGGCTAAGTTATTCTAAACAGCACATTCCTCACGCCCGATTCTTCAGCACTTTTTTTGGTTCTTGCCCCTCCCAAGATATTCGTTTTGGGGACCAAAAATAGGTGCTGAATCCCACTTTTCGCACGTACTTAACTTTGCATAATAGTAAAAGTAAACTAATCTACAGTGCTTATGTTCCACATTCTGGGATTTAGTTTAAATGGCAAGATTTCCTTTAGCTTTACTGGTATAAACGATGTTTCTCTGGAGTTTCGTGCAATTACTGACTAGAGCCAACTGTCCTGGGCTGTCAAATGCTTTTATTATACGAGATGTATTCACACTATTTCGTTTAAGGTGATGAAGTTGAATTTTCCCAAAATGATATCAGTAAAGGGGGTCCCGCTGGGGTTGTTGACTTAGGCGAGGTCGAAACTGCAGTCCACTCTGGATGAGAACACCTTTTGGCGAAGCAAGGAAATGTTAAATTCAATGTAAACATCAGCTCTACTCATATCATTGTGGAAAAATTCAACTACCATTCCTTCATCATCTTAAACGAAATAGGGTGAATACATCTCGTTATAATTGATCCCGAAACCCTACTTATGAATGAAAAATAAATGCTTTTATTGAAGATCCCATACTTTTAAGGGGACTGATTTATGCTTCCTGATGTGAAAGAAAGGACAATAAATAGTGGAACTACACACTTATTGAATAGTTAAGAGCTACTTTTGCTCTGTTAAATAATTTTAA